AATCCAAATTTTTTTCTTATATGTGCGGTATGTGAGGGCGTGGTCCGATTTGTTTCAAATTTTAAACACTGACTACACACACTATTACTAACAACTGTACGAAGTTTTAACACTCTATCTTCAGTATTAGACTTTATGCCAAAAAATCGGCTTTCCGTCCAGTGTGGAATGTATGAAATTGTGTCGGTATTTTGGTATATTTAACCCTGAGTAGTTTTGATTTATGTCGTTGCATTTTCGCATACGCAGCCGATGAAAGTTAATTCTGGTCCAAGAAAGATTCACGTAACTTGTAGACATTATGTAGTCGGTGGCTTTCATCGGCTTCAGAAGTTATAGACTACTTTAGGCAGAAAAAGGTGAAAAAATTGGCACCTGGCAGGTAGCGATGGTCACTGCCTGTCTGCTGCACATGCAGTCAAGCTGGGTATTACCGACAACGTCAAATACCGGATATTTTTTTTTTTTTTTATTTTATTTTTTTTTTTTGCTTACATCTTTGTCTTAAGAGTTTTGAATCAACGATAAACTAATAAGAAGAGAGATAAGCAAGCCGTTGATTAACTATACATTTTTTAGTCTCTTGCACTTACAACTTCTCTGCACCGTTCGCCATCCCAAAACTTGTCCGTTTGTCATTACTTTAAGTTAAGCCGGCCTAAACGTTTGGAAATTTATTTTTAAATATAGTCTATTAGTTTCTAATTGAAAAAAAAAGAAGAAAGTTATTGTGCTTTTGGTATAATGACAAAATAATTGTGATTTGAATATTGTACGGTTCGCCATCAAAAACTCAATGAATAAATTATACCGTTCGTAATGTACTGTTACAAATAAAATACTTTATGCACCTACAATCTCAAGCTCTGTCCTTATTTTTTTAAAACTTAAAATCATACCGTTTGCGATGTACTGTTACAAAACAGGAATATCATTGTAAATAAAATAAAATAAAATAAATAAAATACTTTATGCAGCAACAGTGTCAAGCTCTGTCCTACATTTTTCAAAATTTTAAATCCAAATGAAATACGGCCAACCCATAAATTTAGCTTTGAGGGAGAGTTCGAGAAGAAGTGAGACACCTACAGAAGCGCCTTTAGAACAAAAGGCGTTGAGAAATTGGAAAAATCAAGATCACAACCATTATATATCCGACAGAGAATTTTTAAAGGATTCCGAGTCTTTAAGGGGGTCTTCTCATTGATCAACTTTTTTTTTTCGATATTTTTGTTTGCATTTATTTATAGCTTGGGATGTTGTGTATATGTCCCCAAAAGGATTTTTAGAAATTCGAAATACTTTAGAGCCATTTTTGTTAAGCAAGGTCTTCGCAAAATGGGCATTTTTCAAACTTTAAACGCGTTTATCTCGAAACCACGTTTTTCGAACTGTCGGCCATGATATCTCCAGTTCAACTGAACCGATTTTCATGAAACAAAGTGGAATCGACGCAGAATTGTCACCATTCTCGGGTGACGGAACAGATTTTTAAAAAATTGTTCTATTTTTTTTTTACACTAAACTACAAAAAAAAGCCCGAAATCGAAATTTTCTTTAAATGGACGCCATTTGTTTAAAAAATTTTTTAAAAAAATCTGTTCCGTCACCCTAAAATGACATCTATTCTGATTATAACCCCGTTTTTTTTTCATTTCGGACGCTCTGGAAACCCTGAATCGTGGCCGCCAGGACGACACCTTTTTTTTCACCACCAAGTTTGAAGTCTCATAACTCTTTGAACAACCCTCGTATCGAGGCAAAAACAATTTTTTTATTTACTTTGAACATTTTTTAATACAATAAATAAAAAAAGTTTTCAATTATTCTTTGCGTTTTCAAATAAGAATTTTTTTAAAAAGTGTCCAAAAAACGGGTTTTTAATGAGAAGACCCCCTTAATAATTATACGGTTTTTTGTGGAAGACATACTTTTTTTCGTTTTGTGCATTATAAAAAAGTATAAATTAATTGGCTTTTAGGTAATAAGACACAAAAACTATATAACCAATGATTATGGTTTTTGCTTTAAATAACAGGTTCATATACCATATAACCTCTCATTCAAATTAAGAAAAGGGTAGTTTTGATTTGGCTTTTACATGTAAATCCCTACCTGCCAGGTGTCCATTATTTTCACCTTTTTCGTGCTAAAATAGTCTAAAAAAGCTGAAGCCGATGAAAGCCACCGACCACACTATTCCTATTAGTTACGTGGATCTTTCTTGGACCAGAATAAACTTTCATCGGCTCGTCGAGTTACGTTTTCGGAAATGCTAATCAAAAAACCTAAATAACTCTGAGTAAAATATACCAACATATTCCTCAAGGTATAGCAACTGCAAATGAAGACCTATTCTTACATTTCTGCGGCATGAAAAAAAATATAAAATCAAATTATTATATTCCAGAAATAATTTGACTATTAGAAATTATCCAAATATAGGCTTATTTTTAGTAATAAATGATCAAAATGACACCAAAATAATAATAAAAACAAAAACGTTAAAAATTGCAGTGTTCAAAATATTTTTGTTTAATCAAGTCAACACAAAAGCCAAAATATTATAAATTTTTTTTTTTAATTCGTTGTCTTAGGAAAAAAATTGCTTTTTATACCCTATAAAAAGACGAATTGGTGAACGTGGCACATTGGGCAATGCATATGTATATAAATTTTACAATAATTACCTGTTACATTTTTTAATTATATTATTTGGTGGAAAAGTTTTAAAAGAAAAGAATTCGAAATTGACGCGTTGATAAAACGTTGAATGGTCTATTGATGACATGTTGTACTGCTGGAGGGGGATAACAATCTTCCGATATTCGAACTTTTCCAGTTCTTTTTATTCGCCTTTTCGCGATATTGAGATATTTTATGAAATAACAACACGTTCAACACGTTCAAAAGTCAAGAGTCGGTGTCATTTAACAACTGATCACTGATTAGTGATGCCCATATGATACTCTAATGCAGTTTTCATTAATTAGCTACTTCATTAGAACCTTGAAAGGGTCCACTATATTGTCATTTTGCTGGGATTATTTTGGTAATACGACTACGGTCACTCCGACCGTAAAAGGTAAACAAAAAAAACGGCCGCCATTCGCAGCGTATTATTATGAATATCTGAATTCCTCGTCGAAGTATTATTGCATAACAAAATGCAGAATCCTTTGAATTTATGTTTTTAATCTATAGGAAGAAATCGATTTTTTGGCCATTTTTGCAAAATTTGATAAGGGGTTACATCATTAAAATTTTTGATTTTGATAAAAAATTGAATTTTCAAAATTTTTGAATGAAGTATGCAGATTTATTAAGGGGGGGGTAAGGTTAATTCGGTGCAAAAAAGGCCACTTTTCAAAAATTATTGTGGCGGAACGGCTAAAGTTAGCTTAATGAAATAAATACCATATAATAACACAACATTTGAATAATTTTTGATAAATTTTGTATTGAAAAATAGTTAGAGGTAGAGAAGTTATAGGGAATCTCCCGAGTCGCCTTGCGGTGTACATCCTAACAGCCCACAGGATCATCCGATCTAAAAAAAGTATACCTCATTCGTTAAAGGATAAGTGTCCCGAGGTATTCAAGAAGCGTTTTTTTTTTTAAGTTTTTTTTGTGATTTTTTAGGAAATTTGAAAGTCAAAAACCCGATTTTTGACTAAAAAAATAACGTTATTTCTTAATTTAAAAATATATAAAAATTAAAAAAAGGCCGACGTGAATACCTGAGGAATTAGTTAAAGAATGTGTGTGCCAAATTTCAAATCGATCGGTCCACTAGTTTTTCTGTAATCGTGTACACCGATTTGAAAAATTGAATTTTTCAGGAGAGCGCTTTAAACTTTGTGATTCTCATGCATTTAACACCAACCGACCTTCGTTCAACTCTGCATAACTTCGTCAATTTTCCCATGATCGATGTAAAACTTGGACACAATATTCTTAAGATATTAGGCCTTAAAAATAAAAAATAAAAAAAAAATTACGAAAAAAAAAATTAAATACCTTACCCCCCCCTTAACTGTAGAAAATCTTGCACAGATCTGTTTTCCGATTTAAAATTAATGCTCTTTTGGCCGAGGTTTGATATTTTTAATTAAAAAAAAATAAAGAAGTTTTTTAATATAAAAAATCCGATTATAATACAAAATAATATTTTTCTAAGTCAAGGAATCATTTCCGACCCCATAAACCATATATATTCTTGATCAGCATTAACATGCGAATCTTTCTAGACATGTCCGGAAGAAATCGATTTTTTGGCCATTTTTGCGAAATTTGATAAGGGGTTACATCATTAAAATTAGCAAAAATGGCAAAAAATTTTGATTTCTTAAAATTTTAAATTTGGTATGCAGTTTTTTTAAATTAATAAAAACTAACACAAAACTGCTTTCCGAATCGAAATTAATGCATTTTTGGCTTAGTTATGATATATTTTAATTGTTACCTGCAAGGGTATACAAACTTTGGCTGGCCAAAGTTAGCTTTCTTTCTTGTCTAATATATTTTCAGTTCAAAAACCAGCGAAATGATATAAAAATAAACTTCTCATTGTGAGACCATACTGTCAATGAGCTGGCTAATACATTTTTCAATTAGAATTTTCTTCATTAAACCCGTATTTTGTTATCGAGTATCTAGTATATTATATGTACAGTGGATCGCAGCTTATTTCGTGCAGTTAAGAAACTAAAGTGTAAATCGCCACTGCTGATATACCATTAGAGATATCGAAAAAATTTAAATGCAGTGTTTTAAATCAGATATCCTACATTTTAAATTTAAAAAAATCTTCCCAATTAATAAGAACAAACAATAATATTAAAAAACAAATTTATGACCTTTTTTCACGCCGCAGCTTATTTCGTGCAGCTAGTTAAAATGAATTTTTGGCTTAATTTTTATTTTATTTTATTTTTTTTTTTTTGCTATGGTATTGGTAGCTTATGTATATTTTAAAAGTTTCTTGGCCTGATCACATTAAAATATGAATTTATGGGGAAATAAGTAAAATAGGATCGCGAATATCTATTAAAATGCGATAATTAGTTCTCTTTCAATTTAAGACAGAAAAAAAATCACCGTGATACTACGAAAATGTTATTCTTAAATCGTACATATATAAAAACATAAATTAATCGTTTGTCCGTGAAGATTGGGCCAAACATAAGGGCCGAAATGCACCGAATACATATTTCAGTGAACATTAAGTTCATTATATGGACCAAAAATAAACATTAACAAACGGCTGTCAAATTAGTTATATAGATAGAGCACGAAATAAGGAACAAGTGTCGTGCCGATTTAATGCGCCTCTTGTTGCACAAATACATCTTTAATGTTATAGTAGTATGAAAAGAGCCATTTATAAGGACCCTTCAGTTCCAGAATTCCTCGCCCGTCCAATTCCTCGCGGTATGTTCGAAAAACAAAAACAAATTACATGGGCCTCGTTCAGCGAAGTTCGAAACAAAATAGCCGAAACAAATTCTACCTACGCTCGGCTACTGCCGAGGGCTTCACGAAGTTCGTTCTTCATACCCTTCAGTTCCAGAATTCCTCGCCCGTCCAATTCCTCGCGGTATGTTCGAAAAACAAAAACAAATTACATGGGCCTCGTTCAGCGAAGTTCGAAACAAAATAGCCGAAACAAATTCTACCTACGCTCGGCTACTGCCGAGGGCTTCACGAAGTTCGTTCTTCATATTTGTTATTGTTTTCGATCTACGTTCGGAGTAGCGGTTGCGAGAATTCGTAAATTAGAGAGAGATGGAGATGGAAGGAAGGGAGGAAAGAAAATTGGTGTCAAAAACAAAGAGTATTGCACCGACGTGAGAATGACCTTTTTAAAATAAGTAGAGTTATTTAAAAATATTTAAGATTATATTTAATTAATTTTTACGTATAAAATCGTGTGGGATATGAGCACGTAAGAAAATGTGCTTTAGACATGGCCGAAATGTTCATGTTTGATTATTGGCCCTTTGTGAATCTAATTGCAAGGCATTGCCTTGTCGGCTATACCCTGACACGCGCGAGAATTTTCGGTCTTCGGTTTTGTCTTCTAATTCTCTTTGCATTTAGAGTTGACTGCTGTTGCATTCAGATGTGTTTTGCGTATAGTTGCGTAAAAATGAAATATTATAAGGTAAGTGGAACTTATTTGCATTCAATTATTAATTTTAATTGCAGAATTGACGATTAAAATGGATGCGACTTCAACCTAGACGGTGTGAATGGGATTCAGTACGGATTTACAAAGTTTTTTTATCCAGTTTAAGTTGGTATGTACTGCAATTTACAATTTGATTAAAAAATATGTATGTATGTACTTATGTATTTAATTTACAGATAAAACAAGTTTCTTAAAGGACCCAGCAGCCGGCAAAGGAGACTCGTGACACGCACTTATGTACATACATATGTACATATGTATGTACATATGTACATATGTATACATGTTTAATTTTGGAGAACAATTTAATGCTACCAAAAAAGTGAAGATAAATAAAAACATGCAATCCATAAATAAATAAGGAATAAATTACATCGGATTTTTACTAGGAAGGGGGGGGAATTTTCAGGATTTTCTATAGATTTTCATCTGGGATTCCTGGCGGATTCCGCTAGCGAATCCCGCGGGATTCCGCAATGATTTTCTCGGGATTCCTCGACGATTCCTCTAGCGATTCCCGCAAGATTCTTCGACGGTTCCCCCAGCGATTCCTTGACGAATCGTGCACGATTATCTTTCGAAATTCCCGGTGACTTTCCCTGGCGATTCCTGGCGGATTCTTGGCGAATTTCGAATTCGTGGCTGGGATCACCTTTTGTATGGAAATTCCTCGAAGTTTTTTATGAACGTTCCCTGACGATTCGTCAGGGATTTATTTCGGTTCCGTGAGGAATCGTAGGGGAATCGTTGAGGAACGGAACTGAAGGGGAAACCAGCACAGTAGCAACGTCAAAATTTTTCATAGGAGCTTATAATTTGGCCGATTTTCTTTTGGAATGTTTTTATCTTTACCAACGAGTAAAAGTTTAACTAATTTAATCCTGATGACAGTCAAAATTATTGGCGGAGGCCCAATATTGAGCTAAAAAACCAAACACTTGCAAGCTACTCTGAAGCAAGGCGGCGATCGTGTCTTATTTGGGCCTAAATGGCTTCCTGTAGAGTAGGAAACGAATTTTTTTTTGGCAGGATCTTGGAAACCAATATGTTCTCTTCAATATAAAATGTTAAAACGTGGAAAAAACGTGGTCACACGGGATAGTTTGCAAAACTATTAGTGCAGCGGTCCCTACTACTTATCGGACTTTCGGAAGCTTTAGCTCACACAAAACGTTCTTAATGACAAAAAAACAACATCACTGTCACCCAGACATAATCATTATTTAAAATTTGTAGCAAATATTGGACTAGCAATCGCAAAAATTAAAATGTTTGACCAAAATTATCAAATAAGTAGTGCCTTAGAAGAATTGATTAAAATGAATCTAGAAACCTAAAAAAAACTAGTTAATTCAATGAAACATCATCTGAAAGGTATTCAGAATAAGATAAGAGGTGACATAAAATTTTTTATATTAAATTAATAAAAATAAGTTGAATTAAACGAAGTGCACGAAATAAGCTGCGGCATGAAAAAAGACCTCAAATTTGTTTTTGTTTAAATACTAAATCGTTTTTATGATTAGGAAGATTGTCTTTGTTCAGTATAAATGTTAGTACAAGGACCAAAAGAACTGCGTTTAAATATTTGGATTATCTTCAATCGCTTAGCCACAGGGACGTTTAAAATTTTCGTTTCTTGCCTGCACGAAATAAGCTGCGATCCACTGTAGATCTATCGATTATCGCGGCAATGAAGTAGCTAATGCATTATTCTAATGCATTAGAGCGCCATATAGCTCGCACTTGTGTAAAACGCTATAGCGCTGTCAAATCTTTAATGAAGTCTCTAATTAATGCGCCAGTGTCATGCCCGTATGATGATATATTACGCATTGAATAAAAAATCGGCTAGGAACCTATGTATATATATGTTCGAACTTTTCGTCAACAATTGTATATTTTTTTAAAGGCGACTAAAATGGACAAGGTTACGTACATTACTGGTTAAAATAATAAGTACAAGCGTATGAGCTTTGTGTCAAGCAAATAATGCAAGTTTTCTAATATAAACATGCGTCTTGCGTTATTGCGTTAATTTTGATTTCGATGGGTAACTTAGGTTACCCATATACTTATACACTATAAGTTAACTAATAAAAAGAAAACAATTAATACGTTCCGAGTTCTAGGCTTAGAAGAATGTCTGTACTTATTATTTTGGGCAACCCATTTTCATGCTTTTTGGCTAAACTTGATTCCTGTCTTTAAGTTTAAAATGTAAAATCCTTTTGACAGTTATTTTTTTATTATCTGGAATAAATACGAAAATTAAAAATAAAGTGGGCTTGACACAAAGCTCATACGCTTACACTTATTATTTTAACCAGTAGACTTTGTAACCTTGTCCATTTTGGTGGCCTTAAAATATATTAGGAATATTGTGTATTAAGTTAAGCTCCTTCCTAAATATGGTATAACGGGTTAACGCTACGTCCCAAGCGTATCTTAAAATTCGATACATATTTAAGATAGATAAGATATAAGAATTAAACACCTATGTTAGCGGAAGGTATAAAATTCGTTATTGATGTCCAGTTATCTATCGGTTCTTGTTAAAGTAATTGATAGATACACTGTAATTGGGCGATTTTGGAAATGTTCTTTTGATTTGTGTGTATTTTTAACATTTCAGTATAACATGAGATACATATGTCATTTATGTTGCAAACTTCGCAAAGTGTGTTATTGATAATTTTCTTTTTAAACAACGTGTATTTGTCAAGATCGTGTCCTCTGAAAATCTGATTCCATTGTTTCGTTTCCAGTCTGTTGAAAGTGTCGTTCCTTTTATAAAAATAAAGCTTGGTAGTTGTGAATGATGGTATTACAGAGTACCATCTGTTGCGTTCAAAAAAGAATAAGCTGTAATCTCTCTCCCAATCCATTTTAATTTGTTTAATATATGTATATTTATATATATGAAAGATATAACAGCATTTTTAAATCCTTAAGATATGTCTTGCATTTTTTCTGCTGTTTTCGTTCGTTTTCCCAGATATTAGTATAGCTCGAAATGTGATGTAATCCCACGACCAGCAAACAATGGTTATTAATTAATTTATCAATAATATTTCCTGCTTAAAAATTGTTTGGTGTCCTGTTTTTAATGTTTCCACAATACCTTTTTTCGAAAAGTTTTGTGATAGAGCAAAGTCTGTGGCTTTTTCAAGGGCTGAGAGTTTAGCAATCATTGATGACAGTCTTTTGAATGAGTAAAAACTTTTTATAGTATTTTAATAGTATTAGACTTTAAATGCACGAAGGCACAACACAAGAAATTATCAGACAAAGAGTCATTAGTAAATATAATCTTAAGGTTTATGGAATTAATTGAATAGATTTTTCTGCGTATAAGAAAACAATCAGCATGGTTAGCCAAGTTTTTATGTTATCTGGTTCCTTTAAAATAATCGGTATCAAAAGATACCTTGCGTTTAGCCCGATATAGGGAGCAAATGGAAACAATAGTGAACTTTACAACAACTGGTGTTTTTGCCTGAGGTAAACAAAAGCCTCGCTGCTGGAAGCTCATGAGCGAAAGTATTCGCCAACTCCTTAGCTGCAGCAACTTTTATCATATGAAAAGAAAAGAAGCTAACTTCGGCACGCCGAAGTTTGTATACCCTGGCCGATTGCAATTGGATCATTAGGAATCGAGCAATTCTGGTTAATTAGAAAAAAATAAAAGAAAATATATAAAAGTTGTACATTTATACATAGCATAAATAAAACACACACAAAACAGAGTTTCAAAACATTTTACCTATACCTTTTATGTTTACAAATTGACAGTTACTTTTTTACATTCCTAGCTTTAAATTTTCTCTACATTTATCGATCGCTTCTGTGGCAGCTATATGATATACATAGTTGTCCGATTTTCATAAAATCTATAATAAAAATTTTGAAATAATTAAATAAGGTTATAACTCAGAGTAGATAAAAATACGTCGACAACAACGAAGTTATAATTTTTTTTCTTTTAATTTCCCAACCGTTGCAAAGGCAGCTACATTTTCTCCACATCTACCGATCGCTCCTATGGTAGCTATATGATATAGTTTTCAGATTTTCATGAAATTTATACCAAAATTCTAAGATAATAAAAAGCTTATATCTCAGAGTAGATGAAAATAGGTTGAACAACGACAGAGTTATAATTTTTTTTTCTATTAATTTCCCGATCGTTCCTATGGCAGCTATAAGATATAGTCGTCCGATTTTCATGAAATTTTTACTAAAATTCTGAAATAATATAAATTAGCCATATCTTAAAAATGGTGCAAAAATGTTGAAAAACAGCCAAGTTTTATTTTTTTCTAAAAATTTATCGAACATTTGTATGGCAGCTATATGATATAGTCGTCCGATCCGGCCCGTTCCGACCTACATACACTACTGGCCGAAATAATAAGTACATGCGTATGTGGTTTGTTTCAAGTCCTATAAAATTTGTTTGATAAACTTAAGAAAAAAACCCACTTTATTTTTAGTTTCCGTACTTATTCCAGATAATAAAAATAACTGCCTAAAGGATTTTACATTTCAAATTTAGAGACAGGGGTCAATTTTATCCAAAAAGCATGAAAATGGGCTGGCCGAAATAATAAGTACACCCATTCTTCTAAGTCTAGAACTCGGAACGTATTAAATATTTTTCACTTCTTTCTACTTATAAGTAAACTTAGATTAGTATCCAATAAAACCACACTCGTTTTAGGTAACTTTCGCTATTATTTTTGGCATTCTAGTAGGAAGTCTGTGGCAAGTCAGTACTAGAAGCTGAGACCAGGTTTCTTTAGCAAATCTTCACAAATCTTCAACATTTTAAAATGTTTTGGTTACAATTCGACGTTTTAAAAAAAAAAAAAAAATAGAAAAAAAAATTTATAAAAAAATCTGTTCCGTCACCCGAGAATGGTGACAATTCTGCGTCGACTCCACTTTGTTTCATGAAAATCGGTTCAGTTGAACTGTAGATATCATGGCCGCCAGTTCGAAAAACGTGGTTTCGAGATAAACGCGTTTGAAGTTTGAAAAAAGCTCATTTTGCGAAGAACTTGCTTCACAAAAAAGGCTGTATCTTCTAAAGTATTTCGAATTTCTAAAAATCCTTTTGGGGACATATACACACCATCCCAAGCTATAAATAAATGCAAAAAAAAAAAAATCGAAAAAAAAAAGTTGCCCAATGAGAAGACCCCCTTAAGCCCGGAGACAGATGCATAAAGGTCAGGGGCTGTTTTTCCTGGCATGGCGTTGTGCAAATACATCTCATAAATGGTATTACGACCGAAATCGAAAATAAAACTTTTTTAACTGGCATCTTCTAACCATATGCTTAGGGAAACATGCCCTTCCGATAGATTTTTCAACGAGATAACGATCCAAAGTAAACCTTAAAAGTCATCATGGCCTGGTTTAGGGACAAAAAAGTAACCGTCATGGGTTGGAAAAGTCAGTTTCCGAACTCTTACCTAATCAAAAATTTATGGGGAAACTTAAAACGTCGAATTGTAACCAAAACATTTTAAAATGTTGAAGATTTGTGAAGATTTGCTAAAGAAACCTGGTCTCAGCTTCTAGTACTTACTTGCCACAGACTTCCTACTAGAATGCCAAAAATAATAGCGAAAGTTACCTAAAACGAGTGTGGTTTTATTGGATACTAATCTAAGTTTACTTATAAGTAGAAAGAAGTGAAAAATATTTAATACGTTCCGAGTTCTAGACTTAGAAGAATGGGTGTACTTATTATTTCGGCCAGCCCATTTTCATGCTTTTTGGATAAAATTGACCCCTGTCTCTAAATTTGAAATGTAAAATCCTTTAGGCAGTTATTTTTATTATCTGGAATAAGTACGGAAACTAAAAATAAAGTGGGTTTTTTTCTTAAGTTTATCAAACAAATTTTATAGGACTTGAAACAAACCACATACGCATGTACTTATTATTTCGGCTAGTAGTGTATATAGCAGTGAGAATATAGAATAGTATATAGAAGATACATATATGCAAAGTTTCATTCAGATAGCTTTAAAACTGAGGAATTAGTTTGCGTAGAAACGGACAGACGGACGGACGGACGGACAGACGGACATGGCTAGATCGACTCGGCTGTTGATGGTGATCAAGAATATATATACTTTATAGGGTCGGAAAGGCCTCCTTCACTACGTTGCAAACTTCTGACTGAAATTATAATACCCTGTAAGGGTATAAAAAGGTGGGATTATTATTGGTTGGTGTTGACTTTATGAGACCTAGGGCTTTCATTAAATGAAGTTTTGCATGAGTATTACATTTATTTTTAACTAATTTAGAAGTATGTATTTGCGAATGAGGAGCAAGCGTATTTGTACCTGGATCTAATAAAAACCTTGTAGAAAAGTAAATATTTGCTTGGATGCACTCCAGAACGGCAGCCACTTGTATGTACATATGTACATATGTATATATGTATATATATATATATATATATATATGTATGTATGTATGTATGTATGTTAGTACAACTATTACAAATACTGCATTTAAATTTGTTGATTATCTTTAATCGTCTAGCCACAGGGTACTTTTAAATTTCTATTTCTTCACTGCATATCACTACATATGTACATATGTATGACTGTATACATATATGTATCTATATAAATACATAAATTAATAATCGACAAATTAGTAGTTAGTTGTATAAACATACATATACACATAAATACATTTGCATGGATTTCCCGCCACTATAAAATTATTAAATGAGAACACTGAAAATAAATAATCCTGTATGTATGTATGTACGCACACGCGCACTTACACTATTAGATGAGCGTAAGACCATATACATATGTACATATGTATGTACGTATATTTTTACTTATTGAAATAATAAAAATAATGTTTCTAATGTTTCTGTTAACATAAATACAATATTTAGACTATTACATACATATGTATGTATGTACATAAATTATTTATTTGCACTAAAGAGAGGGCACACTGCATATGTTGACTTTAAATCTTATCAGTTTAATGATTTAAATTTAACATTTGTTTATTATAATATGTAAATTTTAGAAGAAAATACAATTTATTACTTGTCATAAAAGTACATATGTATGTACATTTGTATGTACATATTTGTATGCGGATTTAAGCGAAAGGATTGTCTACCTTCGCTGCTGTCAATTATGCATATGCATATGCACATATGTAAGCAAAACATACATACAAATGTATGTATATATGTATATCTGTTTATTTCGAATCTTTCAATGGTTTCGAGGTGTCAATTATAAAAAAAACAGCCTCCTTAATATTTATATAAATTGAACCACTTTACGTGTATACGTATTTTTGTTATATGTACATACTCCATTAAACCATATGTACATACATACATATGTATATACATGTGTAAAAATATCACAAAGTATGTTTATGTTTATTGCTTACAATTTTGCTTTAGTTAGTAGTACTGTTTTTGAATCCTGGACTTACATTTTTCATTCAGGATAATTGGATAATTTAAGCACATTAAACACATGTACATAGTACATAAATATGTACATATGTACATAATAAAAATGAACTCGTATATTTTTTAAATGTATATTTCACAACCGTATCGAGCATGTAAATACTTAAGTATGAAGCTTGAAACAATAGAATACCGCGACAAAGTTGTAGTCCGCCCTCAACAACAATTTGTAAATAACTAAAGAACTTGTTCGGCATTGAAGTCTTTCGTGGTGACCAAACGTACATATGCCGAATTTCCTTACATATTTACATGCAACCACCACCACCAACTGAAAAAAATACATTCAATACAATGTTGTGCAACATGTTGCACGCAACTTGGTTTGATTTTTTACAGCGTCCAAGGAGCCGCTTTTATATACATTAATTCATACATATACATACATAAATGATAGTATGTATGTAAAACTTATGGACCAGCCTATTTCGTGCAGATGATGAAACTTTAAAGTCATGAAGTGTTTTAACTATGCACATAATAAATATAAATTTGTTCTTATTTGCTATATTTTATACCATTGGCAAAGTATTCATGGGAAACCCAATGCCACTGATACTGGCATGACACTGCCGCATTAATTAGAGACTTCATTAAAGATTTGACAGCGCTATAGCGTTTTACACAAGTGCGAGCAAGACGACTATATTGCGCTCTAATGCATTAGAATAATGCATTAGCTACTTCATTGACGCGATAATCGATAGATCTACATATTATATACTAGATACTCGATAACAAAATACGGGTTTAATGAAGAAAATTGTAATTGAAAAATGTATTAGCCAGCTCATTGACAGTATGGTCTCACAATGAGAATTTTATTTTTATATCATTTCGCTGGTTTTTTGAACTGAAAAAATATTAGAAAATTAGGAAAAATAATATGTTTTGCAAGGGCAAGGTTCTTACGCTGTAAAATTAATATAAACATTTTTTTTGGTAATAATTAAAAAAAATTTAAGCATTATACGTTAAAAACATAAATTTAAAGGATTCTGCATTTATTTATGCAAGAATACTTCGACGAGGAATTCAGAAATTCATAGTAATACGCCTCGAATGGCGGCCGTTTTTTTTTTTTTAACCTTTTACGGTCGGTGTGACCGTAGTCGTATTACCAAAATAATCCAAGCAAAATTCAAGCCAAATTACACAAAATTACACATATAGTGGTCTCTTTCAAGGTTCTAATGAAGTAGCTAATTAATGAAAACTGCATTAGTGTATCATATGGGCATGAATAACTGAAAATATCGGCAGCTGAAAATATACGAAATACGATGCTTATACGATATTTTCACCCATTCAAAGCCTCCGAGGTCGCTAAGAAATCGATCAGAGTAAACCTAAATTCTAAGTCAATACAGTATACATATGGTCAAATAAGGATTCACGACCTTTTTGTGGGGCGATCGCTCCCATCGACCACCTCTGAATCCACCACTGGTTGTGTACGGCCTGCCCTTACTCGTTTTCAATTGCACATCTGCACACTGATCATTTGAGTTTTAACAGGGCCACAGAGTTTTTCTTGAAGCATTGTAAATTTTTTCTTGGTTTTGGGAAACTTCTGGTGGTATAGCATGCTGTCTCGCACTGATTATATATAGGATTTTAAATCTTTTAACCCGTTTTTCTCATAACCACTTTTTTTGAGACGGCCGGAAACATAACTCGAACAAATCTTAACCGATCGATCTGAAATTTTGACAGTATATTCAAAATACATTTGTCTATAGACACACGTAGGATTTTTTTTTTCTTGCATACTTTTTTATCAACAATTTTGTGACGTTTTTTTTTCGTTAAAATTAAAAATTTTTTTAATCACTCACCAATTTGCAAAAAATCAATATATCGAAAAAATCCTACGTGTGTCGATAGCTGTTGATGTATAAGCCTCTGACGAGGAAAATCCGCTGTAACACGTGTTATAGCGATGCTCGATGCATCGATGTTTTCAGCATCACTATATCAATGCCACTTATTTCCTTCAACTTTCCCTCCATTAGGGGTGTAAGAAAAAATCAAATGAATTATTGTTACACCCCGAGATCAGCTTTTTACTATCTTGATCTGGCAACGACATTCAATTTGAACAGGCATCATTTTCGTCGTCAGAGTACCGGCAAAATCGACGAGGCACAAATTTCTTCTTCTTCCTTTTTTCACACCGTTTTTATACCCTTGCAGGGTATTATAATTTCAGTCAGAAGTTTGCAACGCAGTGAAGGAGACGTTTCCGACCCTATAAAGTATATATATTCTTGATCAGCATCAACAGCCGAGTCGATCTAGCCATGTCCGTCTGTCCGTCTGTCCGTTTCTACGCAAACTAGTCCCTCAGTTTTAAAGCTATCTCAATGAAACTTTGCATATAGTCTTCTATATGCTCTCACTGCTATATGCTCTCACTGACGACTATATCATATACATAGCTGCCATACAAATGTTCGATATATTTTTAGAAAATAAATTATAACTTTTCTGTTTTTCAACATTTTTGCACCATTTTTTAGATATGACCATTTTATATTATTTCTGAATTTTGGTACAAATTTTATGAACGATCGGGAAATTAATAGAAAAAAAATTATAGATTCGTTGTTTTTCAACGTATTTTCATCTACTCCGGGATATAAGCTTATTTTATTATTCTAGAATTTTGGTATACATTTCATAAAAATCGGACAACTATATCATATATCTGCTATATACCAGGTGTGTTAGTTGAAGTTTGCCGGTTTTTTCGATAAAGAAAACACTGAATTCTCAAGAGAATGTGAAAAATTTGTTATTCAAAGTATTGACCGTTGGCTTCTACACATTTCGCCCATCTTTCAGGCAAATTATGGATACCATTCCAAAACAACTTTTTTTCTTACGAGGCAAACCATTCGACGCGCCATTTTTCGACTTCTTCAAAATTGGCGAAGAGCTGCTCTGCCAGTGAGTGTCCCATCGATGCAAAAAGGTGATAGTCGGACAGGGCGAGGTCTGGAGAGTACAGCGGGTGCGATAATATTTCCCAATCAAGTGCTTTCAGTGTGTCCTTCGTCAGTTTAGCGGTATGAGACGGCGCGTTGTCATGTTGCAAGATAACTTTGCCATGTTTTCGGGCCCATTCGGCCGTTATTCGATCAACGAATTATTCAAATTGATAATTTGTTGTCGGTAGCGATACTTTTCAACAATTTTACCAAGGTTTTAATAACTCGAATTACACGACACCACATGGGTCCCGCAAATTCGATTTACTTGGAACGAAACTCGACATACTTACTGAGGTAAAAAAGTATGATGTTTATATTTTGACGGAATGCGACTTGTGTATTTCTTTAGGTTAATGTCAACAGAAAAAAATGACACATATGCCGAATGATACAAATGTGTATATTACTGCTAGCGCCATCAACAGTAAAACCGGCAAACTTCAACTAACACCCCTGGTAAACGATCGGTAGATGTAGGGAAAATGTAAAGCTGGAAATGCAAAACTGTAACTGTCAAACTGTAAACATAATAAGTATAGGTAACATGTAATGAAATAATATCTGCAAGGGTATACAAACTTCGGCGTGCCGAAGTTAGCTTCCTTTCTTGTTTTTATATGCAGTTTGACCGCTGTAACACGTGTTACAGCGAATTTTCGTCGTCAGAGTACTAGGCTATAGAAACTAATCAAACTTGATTTTTTGTTCTAGATTAAAAATTACGGACTAGCTTTCCGGCCGGGGACCCCCTTCAACAAAGAAGTGCCTTCCAGTGTTGCCAGATGAAAATTTGGCTCTCCCCCTAAAAAATCGCAAAAAGTTGAAATTTCCCCCTAAAAAATCCAGTTTTCCCCCTAAATTAAAGAAATTAGTTAGTTTCATAAATATAGGGAAGAAACATCTTTTTGTTAGTTAATTTTAATGTTTTTTTATACATATGCATCGATAAAATTTTTCTGAAAACTCGGCTTGGAAACCTCTTTGTTCACAAAAAGTTTCAAAAGGTGTTGAAATTGTTGAGTAAATCATAAATTCTACAATGTTTTTTCAAAACATAGTATTAATACAAGTTTAAAAAAACCCCTAATCTTTCCCCCTAAAAATTCTTCCCCCCTAAAATTCCCCCTAGGACATCAAAAAACCCCTAAATCTAGGGGGAAAACCCCTAACCTGGGAACACTGGTGCCTTCGAAGAAATCCTGCACATCCGTCATTTTGTTTTCGATTTATTAAAAAAAAATTAATTTGTACTTCACATCTAATAGGGTCTTCCCACACACCGTCAAAGCGCATCCACCGTCCGTTGAACTAACTGCCCATAAGGTTTTGCCGTTCCGAATTTTCTCAAACCACGGTTTGTTTGGCGATAGTTAGGCGACAGTTTTTCGGTGCAACTCTGATTTCTTCTTCTTAACAGTGAGAATTTGCCCAACACTACGAAAATGTAAACAAAGTTGGCGAGGAACAATTGAAATATGTAATATAATATGTGGCGCGAAAGCTATAAACATGTCCAAAATAGTTGTTGGTGTTTTTCTGTATGTTCTTTCCCCAATATGTCCCCAATTGTTACTATTTAATATAAAACGCCTACCTCTACCTCATTTTAAAAATTTTGAATGCCTATACCACCTATAGACACTCTTCGGGGAATTTGCTCTTTGTTAGAGAAAAATCATTAAAAAAAACTAAAATTCCTTGTCATTTAATTCAATTAAATTTGGTGCGGATAAATTCTGACGAAATCTGTGCTTTTGCGGTTGTACAACAGCCAAAATAGTTTTTACCAACTATTTCCAACTAACTCCATTTCAAATTTGCAACTGCCAATTCGACAGTCTTTGTTTACGTTTTCATGAGCCACAGCTGATCGATCAGCTGTTCGGATGCGGGAGCGCTTTAACGCAGCTCTGTGGGAACACGAGTTTCACTTTTTTTTTATTCCCAACCGTTCCTCACAAATGCGCTGTGTGGGAAGACAGTATTAACAATGAAAATTATACCATTCACTACGAAAATGTTAACAAAGTTGGCGAGGAAAAAATGATATATGGAATTTAAAATGTGGCGCCAAAGCAACAAACATGCCCAAAATAGTTGATAAACTATTCATTTTACTCGCACATCGGCCGCTTCAGCCATCTTTGTTTACGTTTTCATGACCCACAGCTGATCGATCAGCTGTAATTGGATGCGGATGCACTTTGGCGCAGTTCTATCAGAACACGATTTTTATATTTGTGAATAATCCCAACCGTTTCTCACAAATGCGCTGAGTGGGAAGACAGTATAAATCCCATA